TGAAGAAAAAAAAATACATACACACTCACAAAACGATTGAACTCAGCTTTCTTCCTGAAAATTGCCTTTAGCATTGAAAGCTTTCTATTTTCTGTAAAGCAACATCAGACTATAAATGGATCCTGGTTAAATGATTCTAATTGCAGCATTGCTGTTTGAATCTAGCTATCTTTATAAGTGGCTGATATAAAAAGCTTAGCAGGAATTGGATTTGGGAGGTGCTTTACCAAGAAATCCCAGTGTGATAGCTAGATTCAGAAGTAAAAAATGCCCAGAAATAATCTAGTGGCAAACTACTTCTCTCGTGCTGCTGGAAAGATGCCATGGCAATTATCAGGAGTTGAGATCACTTTGAGTCTTCATCTTTTTACTTCTACTTGTAAATAAATTGGTATAATTCAATATATTGCTAAAACAGGGGAGCTAGTATGCAGAGATAAGATTCTAAGTTCAGCCAGTAATTCAGAGGATGCAGCTTTAAAAGTTGTTCATCAAAGTAAGGCTCTGGCATATTAAAAGTTCACTGAAACTGCTATATTACCATCTTTGGATAAGCATAAACAATACACTCAACTTGAGGGCAGGGAGAACAAAGAATTTCATTACTGAGACTTCAAAAAAGGACAAATTGATAGAGAAATATTGTGTCATACTTACTAAGTTTCAATCCATGCATTAACAATCAACTCTTGGCTCTAGTGAGAATTACACAAATTCTATACTCAAGTATATGAAAATGCGAAGAAAAAATGAATCATTAGTTTGCTTTTTGGTGTGCATTTTCATATGATGAATTTAATTTGAAAGTAAGAGTAGTAGAATACCACCATGTGTAGGCAGGCAATCTGTTGTCCTTCAAAAGTTTTCAACTCTTAATGCTCCAAATCCCTTGTTGTGCAATCTGTGACTAACATTCAAATATTTGAAAAGCACAAGATTGTCTTCCTTAGATATTCTGAACATCTTTTTTTTCTAGACTAGTTGTAATTTATACTGCTTTAACACATACACCTACAAAGTTCAGAACAATGCAATCAACAGTATACCCTCTGATACTCTATGGAAGAAAGAGCTGAACTTCAAAGAAGTAGGATAGAAAGTATTGATGCTTTTGAACTTGAAAAAGATTTCTGACATAAGATAGACATAAGTCTGTCTAAAAACTGCCAAGCAGCATCTGTAAAATCAAGGGTTTTCTGAAGGCTCAAGATAATTTCTCCAATTCTTTGGTGGCATGGACTTCTCCCAATCTTATCAAACTCAAAAGTTCAACATATACAAAAGAGGTGAGTCCTGCACAGGGTCTGAGCTGGTACTTGTATCCTGATCTTATCATGTTGAACTCAAGGGTTAATAATCCAGCAACCTCAGGTATAGTTGATGTAACTGATAAAAGATTATTAGAATGGATAACCAAAAGGCGCATCATATTCTCCCCACATAAATATTCTATTTAACTTCTGTAACCAATGCCAATCGTTACAGTATTGTATCAATAATGTATAAAACTGTACCAAAAGAATATTATGCAGCAGGGGAAGCATAAAGAAAAACAAGAAATCACATTTATTACTTAAATTGGAATTGTGTAATTTCTAATCTAAGAGTTTTATACAAAGAGTCCTGGACTTAAGAATGCTCACTCAGTGATCATTTGAAGTTGTAACAGACCCAACAAAAGCTATTAATAATCTGGTTTCAAGTTCCAACAGCTACTCCTCATATACTCATTGTGACCATATTTTGGTACTTGGAAACTGGCTCACATTTATAGGTGTCTGCAAAATCCTGCAGGTATATGATCACGACTTTTGAGGTTTTTGCCAGAAACCGGCATTTATTTCTGGTTTCTCATAGCAAACAATGAGTTCACTTAACAACTATGGGGTTCCCTTAATGACCACAGCACTGTCTTTATGACCCTTGCCACTTGTACATGTAGACATAGATACGAATACCAACCCTTTCATAGAACTTCTTCAATATAATCAAGATTGCTGTGGAGGAAAGTCAAATTTCTTCAGGGTATCCTGACTTTCTATTATCATAGTTGCTGCTGTTTGGGTTTGTTTGTTTGTTTAATGTATTTGCCACCCATTTTGCTATTAAGTGGCTCTGAGCAGATTTACAAGATGAAAATGACAATATAATACGTTAAACAGTAAAATGATAATATTTGCTAATTTTAATGTTAATATTTATGTAAAGAAGGAACTAATGCAATGAGGTGGAAGAGGAGTTTCCTTTTAGTAAGTACTGTTTCTGCAAAGCCCTGTGATCATAAAACCATCTAAATCAGAAAGGAGAGTATCAGATGTTCTAGTTTCTGTATTTAGAAGTTTTCATAGTTACTGGACCTTGAAGAAACAGGGCTTTTTTTTTAAAACAGCATTATGAACCATGAGCTCATGAGTTGCTCAGCCTTGATTGATAGCATAACACCAAACATTCATTTGTTTATGTTTGAAACAAGAATTATACTGTTCCTTTTGATCTTCACTAGGATAAGGCAACTACCATTGCAAAGGTTCTGCATCTGTTCCAAAATCAATATAAGCTACCAGCAGTTTACAACTGAACTACCGTACATTCAAGGAACCTATAAGGTCATATTTAGATACATAAAAAGATATAACTTGCTTCTTTGCATATCAGCCAATCATCTAAAATTTGTTTTTCAGGACACTACATAGGGCAGTGAATTTTTACCTCCAACCTGAGAAACTTCATTCATGATAGAGTTTTCGAGCTATAGAATACACATTCCATGTACTTACTGCCTTGCAAAAATTCAATATCTTGTCATCTTTTCATTGAGTTAAATATGTGCTCTGCTGTTTTCTATCTTATAACTTATTATAAATGTGCAATACTAATTTGTTTTAATTGTTTAATATTTTTGGAAGGTCTTGCTACCAGTTTTTTTTTGTTTCTAACTCACTGTAAATTAGTGGCTTTTTTTAAAATGTCAATTGTTCTTCTTACGGCTAAATGGCATAACAATTTTGGTTATACTACTATGCTTGATCAGTAGGAATATCCATAGACNTATAGATATATAGATACATACATGCATACATATTAAAGCCCTCATCCCATATATTTCATGAGTTCTCCAGTTTATGAAACAATTAAAATAAAATAAAAACAGATGTATGTAACAGTCATACAGCTGAAATAGAATTAGGAGCAGCAGCCATTAACTAAACACTATCTAAACACTAAAGTTACTGAATAATGGGTAATCCTATAGAGATTTACCTAGAAATAAATTTTCCTTAATCCAGTGAAATTTAAAGACAAATAAAATGCATTGAATGCTTTTTAATGGAAGGAGTATAAGATATCAGAAGATATCCATGAGTATATCTATAAGTATCAAAAGATATCCATGAGAAGATATCCATAAGTATCAAAAGATCATGAGAAACATACAGAATATTGCTATCAGACACATATATATTCAAAACTTTTTGTGGTGTCCCATCAAGTCAGTCTTAGTCACCATATAGATTTTCTCCACGAGGTGTAAAACTATACAGCAACTCAACTGGGAAATACCCTAGAAATTAATTTAGAGCTTAACTGGAATTTCAGACTCACCACTTTTATTAAAATATTTAATGTTTCATATTTTTTTAAAAAGCAAAATACAAACGTAACATAAATTTAATTTTCATTAGAATCAAAGCCAACACTAGTTTTCTTCATCGTCTACCCTGTGTTAATTTCAGCTGTTTTTCAAAAACAGAAACAATGAATTGTTTCTTCAAGGTATTGATAGGACTATAATTCTCCTGAACACAGATAGCTGTGCTAATTTAGTCAACTGAATTTGCAGGTAAAGTTAGATTACTTTCAAGTTTTCTTCCTAGTCCTTGTCTTGTCATAACATGCATGCTCCTTACTCATCTACTACACAAAAGAAGTGAAATGAGCATGTTGGAATGCTAGATTCTAAAGCAGTGATAGGAAAAGGGTTTAGCATAGTTATCTGGATTTAGATTCAGTTGTTCCCTTCCCTGAACAGAAAGCACTAGCATGTGGGAGCATTTGAATAAATTTGTTCCACCAGTTATACTAAATTTAGTAACTTTTGCTCAGCCAAATGGCTTGAATCTGAATCAGAAACTTTTAACTCGCATTAGATATGTGGAAAATGTTACTATTGTAGGGATTGTCAGATTAGAAGAAAGCAGCCTCTCTGCAATATTTTGAAGTTCCCTAGCTCACTATCAAACTGAAGATCTACTTAGTGTGGTTTATACTAGCAGCTTATCTGGCTTCCTAGCAAATCAGAAACTCTGAACTGTTTAAAATATGCCCATGTTTTCAGAGATATTTACCCTCTCTTTGGACTTAAGTAGGCTATCGCATTAAATTTTCAGGGGGGGGGGTCGTCTTCTTTCACCAGACAGTCATTTCCCTATCCAACCCACATTTACTCTGGTAAATATTCAGTTTTCTTGGAACGTTTCCAGATCTTCCACATGCTCATCATACCATGGAAAGAAAGGAAGGATATTTCCCTTTTGACAAACTTTGCCACAGACATACTGTTATTCAATTCAACGTGCATCAACCAGTAAAGCTGTTTTTCCAAAGCTCCTTCTTAAAATAACGATCTTTCAGTTCTCTGAATTACACAACTTCCTTTTACAAAAGTCGGAGGGTGTTCAAACTAACGTTATCTCTTTCCCCTTTTCAAGCCATTGTTGCCTCTGAGTACATAGGCACACAAAGCTTATAAGTTACACTTTGTGCATGCTTGTCATTCTACAAACAACAAAACATCCTTGGGCTTAGTTGCTGCATTTTCAGTGAAATGCAGATAGCTTTCGGATTCCTTTGCTTTCTTTCCCCTCCCTTAAAACAGTTCAGTATTACAGCAAATACAAACCTCTATTCATCATCTCTCAAAAGCAGCTTTGGAAAGCAACCGTTTTTTTTTTTTTTTTTTTTAAAACCTCCTTGGGAGAAAAAATAATTAAAAAGCATACCTTCTTTGGAATCATCTGCTTCGGAACCCATGATAGCAACCTAAATCTTTGAAGATTTAGATGACGTGCCTGTTTGAGAAGCAGCAAAATGAACTTCTCAAAAGAAGAAAAGGGGGCTGGGACTAAGAGAGGAAAAGTTTTGTGAAATCAACCAATGAGAGCTCAGCGGTGCTCCAAAGTCCCACCTCTTGGAGAATGCATCTGAGAACCGTCTGAAAAAGAGCACCTTCAGACACCCCTTTCATTTGCCAGAAATGGCTGCCTGTTCAGCTCAATGTGTGTGTGTGATACAATGTGAAACCACTGCAAGCCAAGCAGCAGAAAAAGAATACCCAGTTTTAAAGTATTGTTTTATAGACTGATGAGTAGTGCGAGTCCATATCACACAAACAATAGAAATTGGACTTGTTTCTTCCATCTTTTCTGGAAAAAACAACCCACTTTTTAAAAAAAATTAACCCATAATTTTTGCTAGAACTTAAGTACAATAAAGAGGTTTTTTTTTTTCATCTTACGTGTCACACATTATTGCTTTGTGTTTTAATTTCCAGGATATCACCCTAAATCATGACTGGTGATCAGCATTCTATCCACACACATACAGAATCAGTTTTCAAAAACATATTGAGAAAATTTGTTTCTTTTCACAGCTCACACTGATTTGTCAAGTTCCAGGGGAGCAGCCTATGGGAGCAGAGTGATACATTAACTATGATTTCTCAAACACTGCAACAAACCTGACTTACATTGATGATACTTTATGGATTTAGTTTGAAGATTACATTAAGGTCTTTATCCATTAAATAGACAAATACAGTTCCACTAACCATACTATAATAAAATTTGTGACTGAAACTAATACTAATCATATGCCCAGTGAATGATAATGCTTAATAACCACATAGAACAGGCGTGTCAAACTCGCAGCATAATGTTGTTGTCATGTGATGTATAAGGACTTCCCCCCCTTTGCTAAAATGGGCGTGGGCATGGCGAGTGGGTTCCACATCCAGCCCACAGCGCATGAGTTTGACACCCCTGACATAGAAAGATCTTCAGGATGATGCCAACCTATACAAGCTAAAATATCAAGATTTATCAGATTCATTCCATTATATTTTATTTAGCTAATGCTTCAAGCAACTTGTTTAGCTTACATTAAACAAGAGTTACAATTCAGCATGATTTGTAAATCATTTTCTTCTTTTCTTCCTCTTTTACTGCTTTGGGTATCAAGAGAACCAAACTTTATTAAGGATGTCAAATTAACTTCTTGTTGTTTTGGCAGATTCAGAGACAACAGCCCATGGGATGGCATGGGAAGGGGCAACTACTTCCTTTCTCCATGATAGGCAAATTATAAGGGGAGGGAACTCTACTACATAAACCAGACCAGAAAATTAAGTCTACAGGAAGCTAACACTTCTTTTATTAAAATTGCCTCTAATAAGAGAATCTTCAAGTCACATTGGATTATGGCTATATTCCTATAGGAGGTATTCCAAGATAGCCAATGGATCCACAAACATTTCCAAAGGCAAACCATAATTTGTATATTCAGATATTACAAAAATTATAAATGTTTATGGATTATAGTTTGCCATTGGGTCTCTACTATATTCAACAAGGCTGGGCAGCATTTCAGATTCAAAGAGGACAATGTGATCTTGAGGGCAGGACGGGACTCCTGGAAGATCTGTCTGCAACTCCTGGAAGCAGCTGTGTTATTCCCAAGAATCCTATAGCTATAGCAGGATCCTGGGAAAAGATAAGAGTTAAGAGTTGCCGATGGATTTATTAGCTTTCACTTGCATGCTCTGAAATATATTTTGTTTTTCAAATCCACAGTGCTGAGTAGTCTTAACATTAAAGAATCTATTCATATAAATTTATTTCTTTCATTTTGGCTTAAAGTAACATGTAAACCCATCTAACATAGTCATTGTTAAGTTCTTCAACAAATCATGATTTCAAAAAGTTTAGAGTGACATTATTTACAGTATTTAGTCCTGAAGTAGCTTAGTAGGTTGTTTCATACATCTGAGTGTTTGTCCTGTTGTATAAGGCATGGGTGTTTCTCTGTGAACAACATCCACCAATTGTTTATGTTTAAACCAGAAATTTTTCTCCTAGGTATAATACCGGAGGGGTTTAAGAAAGATACACTTTATTTAATTATACATATACTAACTGCGGCGCACATAACTTATGCACAATATTGGGAAAAAATACACAATCAGAGCTAGATATAATCAGAAAAGTGTTGTCCGCAAATAGGCTCACTCTTGAACTTAAAAATAAAGGGGAATCAGAATATTTTGAAGTCTGGAACAGATTTTATGATTGGTATAAGANGTTGGAACTTGACTTAATCATCCATTGTTGATTACATTTCAATAATGCCATGGGGTAACAGTTAATATATTTCTACATTTAACTTAACTACATGATGAATATAAGTTGCTCACTAATAGCACCCAACTTTATTGCTGTCAGGTTGGCAACTTGAACAAAATCTATTTTTCATCTATTGACTGTATTCTCATGATATACAGTAGCATGAACCAGCCAAAAACTTTTTTTTAACATATTATGCAAACTCAGTCTATATTATCAGTTTACAATTGAATGAACTCTGCATGCCTTCCTGGATATTTTATGATTCAGTATGTCTTGCAAATCAGAAAAAACCCTGGCTTGAGTAAATCACATTTTAGTGTGTCATTCAGATACAGACATTTGAGGAAGTTATGATGAATGCTTCCCCAAACCTACACTGTGTCTCTTGTTGACACTATCTGAATCTTGGAACATGGCCAGATGGACTACTGAAAAAGTAAGGATGTCCCTCAGAATGCTTCTCTCCAGTCTCTTCCACATCCGTCCCTACCCGTAGGTTGCTGTGTTTAATATTCCATCTTTTTTTCCTCCCTTCCACTGGTTGATTGAAAAATAGGATAATTTTAAGCCATTGAGGGGAGAGAGTTTTTCAATTGAATGTAAGACAACATGGAGGAGGAAAAGCTTCTTCAGTGATTACCCTTAATGATTTTTGTAAACCTCAATAATGCAGTACATCTACTTAAGCTGAATCAAGAGGTACTTAAAATAGTGCCAGCTACACTACTTAATCCTTTATTTCCAAGCCATATTTAAAGTTGAAAGCATATTTGGACGCATATATTTAAAAGCTTCAAAAGTTGTTTGCATTAGGAACAAGACTTTCTCAAAAGTGGCCCTCCACTTTTGGAGCTGGTTTCAGTTGACGCTCAACAGGTCTATAAGTGGAGGATAAAAATTCAAAAGTTTAACTTGGCTCATAACTGAATTGGAACTCTAATGAATCCTTTGGCATAAAACACGTTTGAATCTTGTCCTCTGTCCTTTTAAATCAAGTAAACAAATGTTGATTTAAAATAATTTAGGTCGAGCTACCTTAAAAGTTTAAACCATATTGTTTTGATTAATTTACCTTTATTTTTCTAATGAGTTGATTTATGTTCTAACCAATATGACTTCTTCTTAATAAAACAAACATTTAAATTGTTTCTGACCAATTTCAAAAGTTGAAAACTGTGGCTGTTTGTGGCAAAGTCAACCTTAGCAATACTGCTCCTCATTCTCAGCGGAGTCACCGCTCCGGGTTTTTTTTCATTTACCACATGATGTTTTCTTGGTATTTTTCTTCCACACTTAGAATAAAAATGCTGCACTGATGATTTTTATGACATACTAATTGAATTAAACATTTAGTCTACTTGTACAATCATCAGCAAACTAATTCCAAAACCTGCTGTACGAATCCAACCAAGGAGCTAAGTAAATAAATTTCTTTTTAGAGTGGAAAGAGAAGAAATAAAACTGCAGAATAGATGAAGACTACATACACAAACCCTAGAAAAACATGTTCTTCTCTGTTGGGATAATTTTTCTTCTCAGATTTATATTGGTTTCCATTTTAATTAAAACCCTACAGTACAAGAATCATTATTAGTGCTGACACCATTAAAAAAAGAGGAAATGCCAAAGCAAGTCCATAACTGTATCATAATCCATAGACTCACACTGAGGGTTTACCTAATCTCAGCAGGACAATTGTTCTACAAAAGAGAACATCACACATCTTCTGCTTGTTGTGTTTGTAAAAACTGAAATGCTGGCTAGCAAAGCCATCTCATACAAATATCATATATGAATGAATAATAGTTTGAGAATGTCAACTGTCAAGATTACAATAAAGACTAGGGTGAGTAAATGAGTAATTTCCTTCACCAGAGTAGCTTCTTCTCAACACAAATAAAGGGACTACAATCTTTTTAGGACCAGGGTGCAATGCTGGGTTATAGTGGCCCTTAGTTTATCTTTATGTAGTTCTCAGTCTAATTACTCTGTCGGCAATTTCACATATAAGAAGTATAGGACTCTTTTCCTCACACAAATAAGTCAGTATTTCTATGCTGGTTGTCACTTATAAGCTCTTATACACCAGGATAGAAGCATATTGGGGACGATTTTGAGTTCACCTCATTCACAGACATGATTTAATGATTCAAGTGAATTCATATGAAAAAAAACAGAACTTCATATTTAGCTTTTAAAATATTGTTTCTCCAACTGGTTCAGTTAATGAATTTGCTTACCTAAGATCTTTCTTTTCACTTGTGTCAATAGATGCCTTTAGGGCACATCATTTTTCAAGCTCTTCATGAAAACTAAATGTATCATATGAAACGTGTCCATTTTAGTGCAAAGTATCTATTACTTCACAACTTGTGTATCACCTAGAAAAATGTAAACTTTTGATGATATTGCATAGAATTAGGTGGAATTTTAAAAAATCCACAAAACAAACTTGTAAAAAAACCCTACACTTTAGGAAAGGCCACTGGAAATAATAATAATGTGCTACCCCCTTTAAATAACTTAAAATATTCAAATCAATATCTTTGACCAGATCTTTGACCGGATTCCAAAGCAGTTGTCTAGTTTAAATTGACAGTAAATTTAAAAAAAAGATATTTCAAATTAGCTCTCATAATATATACTGAAGGATTCAGCCAATTACCAAAATTACCAAGATTTTGCTAC